CATTGTCCCTTGTACTAGATTCATATGCATCTATAATATTGAAATATCGATTTACCATTAGACGCACCATAGTCCTGCAATATAAGTATATAATAGTTTAAAAACCATAAAGCTATCAATTTCGCAATTTGTCTCGAAGCTTGATAACATCAAAAATATAAAGGCAAAAATAAATTAGATTTTGAGAAAATTAATTTGAAAATGACATTACACTGAGACCTGTTACCATTTCGCTATTTGACTCCGAAATCAATTACATAGCGTGCGAAACGCTATTTTAACCGTGTCAGATTTAGTGGTACTGGTGCAAGGCAAGCGACAGGTGTGTATTCCGTAGTTCCCTCACAGAAATCCCAGTATTGAAAAACGGATACCATACATGACGCTTTCTAACACTTTGTCGGAAATGAATCCAATTTGGATCCGTTTGTTCAGGCGAATCAGAAAGCTCCCCCTTAACAACCTGTTGCGAGATTTGTTTGATCGCTGTTCAGAATTAATAAAACCCACTTAACACTTGTACGCCGGTTTCATTGTCAATTTTCAAAACTTCCGTTGTGATTCCTAATGTAAATAATATAGGCATCCGTACGCCGAGGTATGACTATTGGAATAATGTATCCCAGGGTCCTCAAATCGAACACCTGTCGAATAACTCGTTGGGAAATCAGAATGACTCGCGAGGCGGTATACAGTTATCAGAAACCAATTGTAAAAAATCAAATGGTTATTTGAAAGCTTGTTTGGGGGATTTGCATATGCCAGTATGTGTTTAAATTGAAATATTGTTGTAAGTAGCGTTACGTATATTTATTTATGTATTCGTTATTTGTATAGTTATATTCAGAGGATAATAAAATGGGTGTTAACGATAACAACTTGTGTCGAGGATAACAATATGACTTTATGTTAACGATAACAAAATATGTCGAAGATAACAGTATGTGTAGAGAATATCAACCTGTCTCGAGGATTCCATGTGTCGAGAATAACAAAATATGCCGAAAGCGTCATATGTTGGGGATTCCGCGTACAAAACGTTTAAACTGTTATTTGCTTTGAAGTGAAACTTCAGTAAATTGAATGTTTCACGATCTTTGCGCTCAGAAAGTGTGTCAAATTAGGGCTGTTAAGTTATAATGAGATAATGCAGCCATGCGTATTGAAGCGGCTTTTTAGTCTAAAAATGACAACAGATGCGCATAATGCACGCTTAATGATGATGAAATGATTTCAGTATTGACAATAACAGCTACGTTATAGCGATGCATGAAATATTCACATTACATCACGTTTTATCGAGCGTTTATAAGCATATTGTTTCCACAACCCCCGACCGAACGATTCATTCCACTCCATTGATCTGTTAAAACAGAAACTAACGTTATTGACAAATAGTATTTAATCTTTGCACAATCTAGAACAGCTTTAAAGTAATCGTTTCGACTTATTAATATTTACAATGTATTGGTCGTGACTCTGATTGAGAATCTCCTAATAATCACAAACATGTTAGATTTTTGGGAATCTTCTAAACAGCACTCCCTAATTGTCAATTTGCAACGCTTTCATTTAATGGTGTTCTGATGACAGCAAAACGATATTCAATTAGTTTTAATAAAACATTACTATGAATCTATACCTCCAGTACAGACATTGTTAAGTCATTCAATTACTGAATCAGTATATACAACATCAATAGTAAGTTGAATTCCATTAAGTGTGGAAAACAGAGTACACAACTCACAATCACGATTAAAAGTTTAAAACAAAACAAAACTATACTTTTTTTTTAGAAAACTGGTCCAATGGAGACATCAAGATTTGTTTGACAATTGGTCCCGCGTTTATGTCTTTCAGTGACGTTTTATCTATTATTTATATTAATGAGCCTGCTCGTAGACGACACCCTTGTCTTCAACTATATGATTAATAGTTTGACAGCTGAATAACATTCGGATATAGAAACACCATACTGAAAGTTTCTTGTGTATAATGAAACTTGAACCCGTTTTCTAAATCACTTCCGAGCACGTCAATTTCAGATTTTTCTTTGAGTATTAATAGTGTGTTTTGTCAGTTTCTGACGCTGAAAAGCAGCTGTAAAACATTTAGAAGTTTCGCTCTGTGAGTACAGTCCCTGGAAGCATTGACTAGAACATTTAATTGTCTTCATAAGAACACATTGAACTTGTCAGATGACTTTTCATGCTAAAATCTGTCCGGTAAAATATTTATTGTATCTAAAAGCCATTTTAGAATTCAATATTTAAAACACGTTTTATTTGGATGAGAGATTTCGCCTGGAATCCCGTTTCGTCTGATTTAAGAAGCGGAATTGAGCTGTGAATATTGGTTCGCTTTCGAGAAGGAAGATCGTGTAATTACTTTCCTAAGCTATTACGGCAAATTTTAAAACGAATATTTCTTTATAACTGAAACATAATGAATCGAGTTGGGTTGCAAACAATGTATATTACAATAAAATTGTACTTTTTTTCAAATTTATTGAAATTGCATTCGTCACCTTCAGCATATTCCAAATTCATATAACGATTTGAAATTAAGGTCCAAAAATCGATGTTGAAATTAAGGATGCTTAAGCATAAACTCAAATCATTCGGAATATTTTTAATTAGAAGTACTCTAATGTTTTGAAAGTAGCCACATAAGGACAGATTTCAATACGAAATGTTTATAAGATAAACAGGCAATGTATTGTGAATATTTTATATGATTACTTCATTTTTTACAAGGGTAAGTGTACTGTTCTTGTCAGGATGAGACCTGAAAATATGAGTAACTGCAGGATTTCTGCAAAGGAATTAAGTTCGGATTCGGATTCCTTGATCAACATACGATGGGCATCGTCGTTTAAGAAGCGGTCTTATGGACGTATAGGGACACCTATGGACATCTATGGACACCCATGTAAAAACACTTCTTCAACTTCTTTCAATGCATATCATAATGTTCAGTGGCAGTGTTTTGTTTCCAACGAAAACGATTACCCTTAAGAGCCGCAAGAGCATACATCATTCTCGCCTCATCTGCAACCCGACACTCCCACCCTCCCCTCACCCTTACCTTACCCTACCACACCCTTACCCTACCTGATTCACCTCACCCCACCCTCATATCACCCTCATCCACACCCTCACCTCGCCCACACCTCACCCCACCCGACCATCACATCACATCACATCACATCACATCACATCACCCCACCCCACCCCACCCACACCCTAACCTCAACGCCAACCCAACCTCACTCACCCCGCCCTCACCCTACCTCACCTCACCCTCACTCCATCCTCACCCACACCACACCCTCTACCTCACCCACACCCTCTTCTCACCCCACCAAGTTCAGTTAATTAGTTTAGTACCTGTGCTGAAAAAGACACCATTATGCATATATACCACTGGCAACATGTTTGTCTTTCGGGCTAATCTTCAAGTTGATCTCGACCTCAAGAAGTAGCAAGGTATATTTACAGTTATATATCAGAGTGCATAAGAGTGTTTGTTGAAACAATGTGTCATATTTCCTGTTACATGCTTACAGAAAAGTATACAATAAACTTCAAACGTTTTAATTTTCATTCAATTTTCTTTATGTAAAAGACGAAAATGTTTCTGTTAAAGTGGGCCCTCAATTTAAAATTATACAAGATATACGAAGAAAATAGTGTACAAATACAAAATATATTCTCTTTAAGACCAAATATGTAAACAGCCAATCGAAAAAATGCTTCAACCCTCAATTCGAGCTATCGTGTTCTCTAAAGTAGTATGGTACGTAAATATCTGTATACAGTGTATGTTGTATAACACAAACATGTCCTGTATGTTTACTTATTTCACTAAAAATGTCATATTGTACTCCATTTAGAAAGTGTTGTCAAGTTCAATATTTGAATGTTTCATAAATCATTAATTGCATTTTACGCTAATATGATACCATTCTCATGGGCATTTCAAACCTCTTTACGGATGAACCGATACAGTGACAGGACTGTCCAGTTGCTGGGTAGTCATTTATTTGTTTATTTATTTATTGACTGAATAGTTAGCCAGTACTACCAACAATAGAATTAATCATGAAACCTCTGACATTTAGAAATGGGATGTCAGCCCACACACACCCAAAACACCCACCCCTATCCCCGTAACCACCACCCCATCCCCCGGTTCCACCCTGGGCACCTTAAAGATGGGGATGGAGCTACTCTGTGGTTGACCATTAAGAATTCAAACAAAAGGTAGGTTAATGAACAACATCTGGTGGCATATTGCCCATGTAAACATTAGACTTGACACGAAAACAACTTTTTCTTGAACGGTGTGTTTGACATTATTGAAAACGATTGCTTATTGTGGTAATATTAAAAAGGCAATGGGGACAAGACTATCAATAAAAACATGAAAATGATGCAGGAAATACAAGAGAAGTATTTGACAACGAGGATGTGCAAACCTTATGATAGGAACGACACAATTGAAGAGATTAACAGCATTCATGGATTATCATAGTTGTAGAGATTAACATCAGTGTAGGGATTAGCATAAGTATAGAGATTCGCATTAGTGTAGATTAAGGTCATCAATAGGTGACCAACATTGAACAGATTAGTATATTATTTCAAATTTAGGCATCAACGAAGTTTGTACAGAGACAACAAGAAGCTCTCAGTCCCTTGTAATCCTTAACAGATTCTTTAACTACTCAACGAACCAACAACCAATAAACTTACTGCTGATTGATGTAAATATGATATACGATATACATAATACGTGTATATCTACAGACACAATCACAATAACCATTAGCGCACCGACAAAATATGCGTATATACCCTTACTTGTTATACAAATAGAAGAATGTTTTGATGTGTGTCAAACTATTTGAATGGGTGAATAACGATGTGTAACCTATAGCATCAGTGATGGGTCTGAGACAATGTTTGAACAAATGTAAACACGGCTGTACGACCTACCTGACAAGGGCGTCCTGAGAATGTTGGGGTACTCCGGCCCCTCCCTGCATTCCGTGGGGGAGGGGGGCTCGTTGAGCGGGGTAAGGGGGGAGGACCGTCGCCCCCTTGTCTTCTTGATCATGAAGGAGCGAGGCATGTTTCTGCGAACGGCTCTAAGTGATCAACTATCACAGTCGACTCAGCGTACTCACGCAGTGCTATTGGTTGTGATTAGTTTGTTGGGTTGCTTTTCTAAGGGCACGTGATTTTAAATATTAAACCCTCAGCATCTGTGATGTTCGAGTGGTAACAATTGGCGCATAGATTGTGTGAAATTATTGATGTAGCAATGTCCCTCCTACAATTACTACAGATCTCGACGAATTCCACCAAATAAATGCAGCACTTCCCTTCTAATAATCGCACGCTTCTCATTGGCTCGACCGCCTCGGGGCTTGAATGAGCGAGAGGCGAAGAGGTGTGATTATGCAAATGAGTACCGGCAAGCGCACGGCGTTGTGAGCGGGACAATATCAAACCAACTTGTTCGTTGCGGCAAGGCGCCTGAGCGACAGATGCAAGAATGGACGTCAAACCGTGTCACATCCTGACTTCATAGATTCGTTTACGAGGGCCGTGAATCTTGTTAGCGGGGATAGATTTCGATCAACTAGACAAAACGGAAGGATTGAATATCAAACCCAAACGAGCCATTTATTGGTTCTGGCAATAAACGTGCGGTGATAGTTGTAACATTTTCAATTTAACTACTACATATATTTTTTTCCATTTTGCACTTTATTTGCGTCTGTGTAATTCAAGAGCACTTCATAAGATACCTAGATTTTTTAATTTGATTTGTCAATCTGACATCTGACGTATATTTTGTTGTAATCAAATGGCTGTATTTTTATTTTAACGATACATATGGTCAGTCATACGAATTGATTTGAGATATGAATAAAAATGCATATTTTAGTTATTTATCCCTAAAATGAGGTTAGTTAGTCCCAATCAAACTTTTGACGTCAAAATTTAATAAAAAGAGAAATGTTACATTTAAATAGGATGCCCGAACTCAACGCTCCATTCCTTATGTCAGGATGGGTTCATATTCTTATTGTCTAGAGTCAGGACATCGTTAAGCCGGAGAGAGAGAGAGAGAGAGAGAGAGAGAGAGAGAGAGAGAGAGAGAGAGAGAGAGAGAGAGATGATCTTTGGATAAATGGGGTCGTGGAAAAGAAAACGTTTACAAAGGACCTTGGCATCGATGGGGTAGCCTTGTGGCTTAAGCGTTCGCTCGTCACACTAAAGGCTCGTGTTCGACTCCCCACGTGGGTGCAATGTGTGAGTGAGGCCATTCTTGATGTCTCCCGTCACGATACATTAGCATACTGATAAAAGCGGCGTAAAACCATACTCACTCAAACCTACTCGGAAAATGAGTGTACCTCGATACCAGGTCCGGCTTAGTACGGATTCTCCCTGAAGTTCGCATGCATAAAACAATCACATATTCACTTGTTTGATAACAGTGTTAGGATCTACACCGAAACGCCGCATTCATTGTAATAAAAAAAAGTAGTATATCCAAAGAGCTAAAGCCCTTGTTAATCACATATTCGTTAAAAATCAGTTATGATATCTAGGGAGACGGATACCTATGCTGAAAATACTTTCTCTTGTTCTTTGCATGTCAATATGTTTAAACCAGGATGAAACTAGTTCAGTGACGCTTCCCATTACGCTCTCGCCGCTGACATGTGCTGCCTCTGGCTCCATACCAGCTGAGTGATACCTATGTGCGGGCTCCAAGCATTTCACCACAACAGTGAACAGACTGATGGTGTTAGTCCCGGATACAGAGAGTTGGATCTAGAAATTGTAGATATCATTTGGGTGTTTGTTTGTTGTTTCACGCCGCACTAAGCAATATTCCTGCTTTATGACACCGGTCTGTATATAATCGGGTCTTGGCCAGACAATTCAGTGATTGACGTCACGAGCTTCGATCTTCGCAACTGAGATACGATTATATGCATGAACCAAGTCAGCGAGCCTGACCACCCGATCCCGTTACTCGCCTCTTACGTCAGGCATTGTCACCTTTAACGGCAAGCATGGGTTGCTGAAGACTAATTCTACCCCTGATCAAGCGGGTTTCATACACGTTAGTATGCATGCACTATAATGTGTTGCTATAATAATAATAATAATAATAATAATAATGGCGGGTTTGAATCCCGGTTCGCCTTTTTTATAATGTTTCCAGGTTTGTCGGCACCATGCCCGTGCTCGTGGATTTTGCCAAAGTTGTAAGCGGGTAAGCGTCTTAGACCTGCATCACTTCGGGCTTGCCTCCCACATTAAGCTGATATAACTGAAATACTGTTCAAAGCGGCATTAAACCATACACTCTCTCACTCACACACTGAACCGTGTATTGCCATGCATGTTTTCAACTGTTTATTGCTGCGTTTGTATTTTCACTGTGCATTTATTTAGGCGTATGCTTGACACTGTTTATCTGTGCGTATGTTTTACACTATATATTGGGGCGTATTTTTGACACTGTTTATCTGCGCGTAAGTTTTACACTATGTATTGTGGCTTATGTTTGACACTGTTTATCAGTGCGTATGTTTTCCACTGTATATTGGGGCGTATGTTTGACACTGTTTATCAGTGCGTATGTTTTCCACTGTAAATTGGGGCGTATGTTTGACACTGTTCATCTGTGCGTATGGTTTACGTTATATATTGGGGCGTATGTTTGACACTGTTCATCTGTGTGTATGTTTTACACTGTGTATTAGAGCGTATGTTTGACACTGTTTATCTGCATATGTTGAACACTATGTATTGGGGCGTATGTTTTACACTATGTATTAGGGCGTATGTTTAACACTATGTATTCGGGCGTTTGTTTGACACTGTTTATCTGTGCGTATGTTTAACACTATGTATTAGGGCGTTTGTTTGACACTGCTCATCTCTGCGTATGTTTTACATTGTGTATTGGGGCGTATGTTTGACACTGTTTATCTGTGCGTATGTTTGACACTATGTATTGGGGCGTATGTTTGGCACTATTTATCTGTGCGTATGTTTTGCGCTATGTATTGGGGCGTATGTTTGACACTGTTTATATGTGCGTATGTTTTACACTGTATATTGGGGCGTATGTTTTACAAAGTTGATTTAGACGTATGTTTTATACCGTTGATTTGGGCGTATGTGTTACCAAGTTGATTGGGACGAATGTTTGTAGAGTTGATTTGGGCGTATGTTTTACCAAGTTGATTGGGACGAATGTTTGTAGAGTTGATTTGGGCGTATGATACATGCTGACAGCTGATTGGGGGGTTTATTTGCACAGTTGATCGGGGCGTACGTCTTACACAGTCGATGTTGGATTATGTTTTATGCAGTTGATGGGGGAATGTGTTACAGATCAGTTGTAGGCCCACGTGCTACTCAGTTGATGAGGGTGTTTTTCTCCAATGATGGAAAAGTGTTTTACAGCGTTGATGAGGGCGTATGTTTTATTCGGAGTGGGGCGTACGTTTTACTCAGTAAATATGTGTGTTTGCTCTCACAGTTGATTAGGCCGTAGATATCACAAAGTAACGGGGGCATGTTTTACATAGTTCGTGGGCGTATGTTTTACATAGTTTATAGGCGTATGTTTTAAATAGTTGATTCATGCATGTTTTACACTGTGACAGTTGATGTGCGTATCTTTTACATAACTGTTTGTGTTGAGAGGTGATCCGAATCTAAATTTAAACACATGAAAACAAACGTCATTAGCAAGTTTTGAAACGTTTTCATCAACATTACAGTATAAATGCAAACTTCACGACATGCCTCCATGCTTTGTATCTTCAGATGGGCTGATCTCATCATGGAAATAAATCTTTGAACAAAAATCTGTTTTTAACCATTCTCCCTCTGATTGTTCTAAATGAATTACAACTTTTTTCGGTGGGTGATTAGATAATTGTAATCCATCTTAATCACGTACCATGGTAGGAGATACATCAAGCTGTCATAGAGTCTTCAATAATACATAAGACAAGAAACCACAGTCTTCCTGACAGCCTCGGTTGCAGGTGATTTAACACGTTCCAAGATCGTACCACCGTTAACCCAGAATGGAATAAACTATGTGGCTTTTGAAATCGATTCGGTACACACAAACTTTGCATTACCTTAAAAAATAAAGTTGATTATCATTATTTGAGATTATAACTGACTTCGTTATAGGCGATTGTTTACCCTGTTGTCGATATATGCGTGGTTTGCAATCAATTTTACTGAATAGTATGTCTTTACTTATGTTCAGGTATTTACTCGAAACAATGCATTACATACATCTTGATGTAGTACGTACCTCGAATATTTTCAGGGTAACATTTCTTTATATATACTGAAAAAAATGGGATTATGAATCTTATGGGAAATAGTTTTATGAATTTATGTGTCAAAAAAATATTCATCATCCCCATTTATTTTTGGTCAGATTCAATCAAACCGAAGGGCCATGAACGATTTTGTTCGGCGTTTTCTTGCAGTGTCACGGGGGCACGGGTGGCCCAGTCGTCTGAGGCGCCGCGATTCGCAGTGCAGAGTAGCGTCTCTTGGGCACGCCAGAAACCTATGATTGTGGGTTCGAATCTCGGTTCGCCCCGATTATGTTTCTAGGTTTGTCAGCACCATACCCGTGTTCGTGGGTTTCACCGAAGTGGTAAACGTCTGAGACCTGCACCTTCGGGCTTTCCTCCCACATAAAGCTGACACGCCGCGATATAACTGGAATACTGTTAAAAGCAGCGTTAAACCCAACTCACTCACTCTTGCAGTGTCTCGGATTTAATGCCTGATTCCCCCAGATAGTGATAATTGCTGTTACAGTACTCGTACTCGTGACTTCATGAAAAAATGGAAGATGTCCAAGATCTACGTAATTTCTTCGAGCCCCTCAGGGACAGCTGACCATTTGATATTCTGGGTTGAGGGGAATCTTGGTGAACATCATTAATGCAGACAGAGAATTCGGTGTTTAGAACCGCCGTTTACGATATGCTAATTCAGATATGAGTTGAAATATATATATAAAAAACTTAAAAGCCCAGTTATAACATTACAAAGACACGGACCAACTACGGATTAGCTCACCGACGGTAAGTCTACATATAGTCCTTTCAAGTGTTATCACTTTTTTTATGAACAATTCTAAGCTGTGAATGTAATCCCGACACGTCACTTTATTATCCATACCATGAATCCCGCAATCAATATCTGT